TGTTTCGTTCTGCTGTGCATAGGGTCGCTATGAGTCCATACCGACTCAACGGCACCTGTCAACAACAACAATATTCACTTTTAAGGATTATTCTGGCTGTACTTCTGGTAACCTTTATATCTAAGGGGTGCGGGTGGGGTGGGGGGAGTTGGTTCTGATCTGGCCTAAGAATTTTAGGAGAATTAAATAAAAGCAAAATAAACAAAACAAACAAGAACACTTCTAAAATCATTTCTTTGAGACAATTCCAAATGCTTTTCTGTCCAGATACAAAATAGCAAAAAAGTATTTATTTCCACATCTCAAATTCCCTCAGGGCAATACATAACCTGGGTCATCTAGATAGCTGGAACTTGAGTCTTAATTAGAACCAGAAAGGAAAAAGTCTTCAAGTCATTATTAACACTGCTCTGACTTGCTTCTCTCCTACATTTTAATTCTCCCGCCTTTCATACTTGAGAGCAAAGAGAGATAAGTGATTTCCTCTGGCCCATCATCTCACAGACCAGTGAAGAAGGATGAGCCCCCAAAGTCCAGAGTAACTTTTTCAAAACACACATTCTTCTTTCAAGACTCATCCTGCCCCACGGTTCCGTAATTAACCAGAGGAAACCACTTTGTTTCCTTTGCTCCCAAGTCAGAAAAGCGGCAAAATAAAAATTCAGGAGCGAAGAAAGTCAAAACAGTGTTCATAATAACTTGAAAACGTTTTCCTTTCTGGTTTTCACTAAGACAAGATCCACCTATCTAGTATTGCCTCCTGATGTCTGCTGCTGAGTTCTAGGACAAAGGATTCTACTACGTAAGGCTTTGAACCTGGATAAACCCTGGGGGGGAAAAAAATCATTGGCTAAGCAAAGCCAAATAAAGCCTTTTCAGAAGAAAAAGATTGGTTCTCAAGTTATATTATTAATTGTTGTTGTTGTTAATATGTTGTTGCTGTTGTTAAGTGTCTTCAAGTCAGTTTAAACCCATAGCAACCCTGTATAGGGTTTCTGAGGAGCCGCTAGTGAGCTTGAACCACTGACTTTTCAGTTCAAAATGACTTTACAGTCCAGCACATTTGCTTGCAGTGACACACCAGGACTCTATTGTTAACAAGCTACACAAATAAGTTCTGCATTTCAAGATCTGTACACTAACTGAAAAAATTCAAGTCTGGGCTCTAGGAGAATAAAATAGGGCTCACTACTCAAAGATGTTAGATTAAAGAAAACAAATCTAATTGTTTGTACCACAAATGCAAAAAAATCCAACCAAGTTTACTTTTTGAAGCAGGTTAATTGTGATAAATCAGCAGTAAGAGCCATATGAATGCAAAGGCCAACAGGTACCATTTATTTTAGATTTAAACAAAGGTTCAGAAAATAAATTGAAAAGAGCCCAAAACACAAATTAAACTAATGAAAGTAGAAAAGGTGGTACAAGGAAAAGAGTTTTAAAACAGATGTCCAGACTGAATTAACTTCTCACCAGAATTTCTCCCAATTAAAACAGAAGCAACATGACTACTAAAAGCAAGCCATTCAATTAAGTCATTTCCAGGAATTCTTTATCTCTGACTGAGACCTCTGTACTGTCTTGATATATTTCAAAAAGAATCATATTTGTGTTATAATTGCAATTACTCTTACACAATTTAGCTGATTAATGTCTAAGGAATCTTTAAAAAATTCACAAATCAAGATATTGTTCATAATTCTCCATAAAATATAATAGTTTGCTAATTTAAATGAATACCTAAAACAATTTTTAAAAGACCCCAAGATAATTTTTTTTTAAGTCTTTATTGTAAATTGAGTGATAGTTTACATGGGAGAACATCAGTTTTACACTCATAGTTTAATTTCAATAATTACAATCTCCTCCGTGCATCACCATTCAACAGTATTTGCTTCTATTCCCTCTGGGTTTTTTGTTTGTTTTGGGATGTATACAAAAACACTCAGGAATATATAATAATTTAAATAACCAAAGGACACATTCGGCAAGCCTGCCTACTGGCCACCAGCACACAGGCTTTCTCTTTCCACGAGTCTACAGTCCTCCGCTGCTCTATCTCTCCTTGTCTTCATCTCTGCCTCTATCTCTGGTGTCATTGCTTCTCTTGATAGGATCCCACATTCCACTCGTGCTCTTCTCCCTTGATAGTCCTAGGGTTCTCAGTTCCTGGACTGTAACTATTCCCCCATTTTTATCACAAAACTTCTACCTTTACAGTTGTGACAATCGCAATTAGTCATGATAATAGTTACTCACTACTGAATCATAAGAAGCTTATCCCCATCTCTTTTCACCAGACATGTCTAGACAACATGAAAACTATTCAGTGGAGCCTTTACATTCACCCACACACTCTTAAACTAAACTCCCTCTTGAAAACTTGTAACTCAGTCACTTCATGACCCCCATTTTAGGTAGCCAATGTCTAAGTTGCCCATGTCTGTGATATGCAGATGATACAACCTTGTTTGCTGAAAGTGAAGAAGACATAAAATATTTACTAATGAAGAGCAAAGAGCAGTCTTCAGTATGGATTGCATCTCAATGTCAAGAAAACAAATATCCTCACCTCTGGACCAATAAACAACATTCTTACCAGTGGAGAAAAGATTGAAGTTGTCAAGGACTTCATTCTTCTTGGATCAACCATCAACACTCATGAAAGCAGCAGTCAAGAAATCAAACGATGTATTGTATTAGGCAAATCTGCTGCACAAGACCTTTTCAAAGTGTTGAAGAGCAAAGATGTCAGCTTGAGGACTAAGGTGCGCCTGACCCAAACTATCGTATTTTCACTAACCTCATATGCATGCAAAAGCTGGACAGTGAATTAGGAAGACTGTAGAAGAATTCATGCTTTTGAGTTATGGTGTTGGAGGAGAATATTGAAAGTGCCATGGGCTGCCAAAAGAACAAACAGATCTGTGTTGGAAGA